AATATATAATAATATTATTAGAAATAAAATTTAGAATATATAAAATAAAAATAAAATGACTAAATAATTTAAAAATTGAAAGAATAAAATATTATAAATATTATTTAAATAAATTATTAAAAATATAAAATATAAAATAAAATTGTAATTACAACTGTACCGGTATCCTCTCAAACAATATGAGTATCATAGAATTTCTCATAGTGTATCCTATTAAGTTTAAATCTTAAGTATATATAAATGTATTAAATTAAATATTTGAAAAAAAAATTATAATTTGTAATAATTTTACACAACTAAAAAAAATTTACTACAAATAACATCTGTTTTTAATTTATACCGATAAAACTTTCAAATAATGTATAAGTAAAAGTAAAGGAATATCTTTGAATATGTTGATAATAATTTTATTTTAATCATGTATCCATGAAAAAAGAAAAAAACTATTAAAGTATATATAATTCTTTACTACGTAAAAGACATCTAAATCTAAAGTTGAGACTTTTTAACATATTTTTATTTATAAAAAATATTAAAAAGATATGAAGAGGATTGAACTTGAGTTCTCTCATCTTTACCATAATCATTTCCCTCCAACCATTAAGTTAATTTTAATGGTCTATATTTTTCTTTTACATTATTACATATATTTGTTACTAGAGATAAACTTATTTCAATTGAATGAAATTATTATGGGTGATAAAGTATTTTTTTAAAAATATTTTATAAAATTATACACCTAAGACTCAAACTCAAAATTACGTTATAAATTATAATAATCCACATGTTTGATGATAGGATTTAGATAAATAATTACTTATATATATAAACATTTTATTTTTATAAAACTAACTAATCATTATAATTTTAATTAATTCTTAGAAAAACACATAAGAACAAAATATGTTTTCAAAACCCAATTAAGCAAACTGATGGGATTGTAATGACAGAAGAAAAATTGAATTCTAGGTATATATTATGTCCATGAAATGCTTAATCTAATACTGAATTATTAGCTCCACTAAAGTCAAATTTAGCACGTCATTAACTATTTTGTTATAGTCATTTCGTGCGGCAATGCAATGATGTTACGTTTGATCTATTGACATGTACCTTGTGTTTAGTTTGATAGAAATACAGATAAAATATAATGGAGAGTGAAAAAATATGAGTGAGGAAATAAATTAGGCAATTTGTTTAATAAGAAATATATTAAAGAAGGAATTTACAAACGTGAAATTTATATTTATAAATTTTCCCCTAAAAAGCAGGGGAAATAGCAAAAAAAATATTGAAATAAGTCTCTCATTCACTATATTATATTTAATCTGAGATTAGGTGAAATTATTTGTTTGATTTGAATTCTAGATTTGATACTTTTTTACATATCTTGACGGTTTGAAGGTAGTATTTGAATATCACTTGTTTTATTCGAATGACGACATATTTTATTTAAATATATGATTAACTATAATAAAATAGACTTTTAGTAGTATTTAATATATTAGTGTTGTTAAAATATTTATATATTTTTTTAATTATCTTATTAATAGTTGGTCTCCTCAAATTTAAGAATTATTAAGTTTGATAAAGGTGAGTCATCTCATACCAACTTAAAATATTAAATTATAGGTCTAACTCGATCCTACGTAACAAACTTATAAGGTAAAAGTTATTATCCATTTATATATTCTTTAATTATCTTATTTCTAGTCGATGTGACTAAATTTTTTTTTAATAAATAATTATCACTAATAATAAATTTTAGTATGATATAAATACATTTTTAGTGATCATTATATATTAGTCATTAATACTTTTATTAAATAATAAAATAAAAGTAATTAATTTATTATCGTTAAATAATTGTCGGTAAAAATAATTTTTTTTTGTAATAATTTTTTTATTTAAATATGAAATCTAAAAATCTTGTATTATTTGAATGGTAGCACATTTTATTTGCATACTTGATTTCTTATTACATAATTTTTTATTTAATAAATCCGCTTTATTCAAATATATGACATTTTATTGGAATAAGTTGCATGGTATTTAAAGAAGGAGTTGTTTTATTCAAATAAATATATTGTTTATTTAAATAAACAACAATTTCACTGAGACATTAAAAAAGGTGATATTGTAACTTTTAATTAATTATAATTTTTCTCTCTCTCTTCATTTAAATTAAATAATTTTATAATATTATTTTTCATTTATTTCTTATCTATTTAATTCTCTCAAATCATATAATTTTATTTTTACCTTATTTATTACATATTTCTACTTATTTATTTATCTCTTTTTTGTTATATTTCTTTTTACTCAATTTCTCTCTTCATTACTAAACACAGTACTAATGTAAAACATAATTGCAGACAATTATCGATAAATATCTGACATAAACCTATACTGTATTAAGAAGGGATATATTATGCTACTTTGGTGGCATAACGTTGTCCAAGAATCAACCATTTGGCCTGAAGGCTGTTTCCGTTTTTTGTCAGGCCTGTAATATTCACACAACAAACATATGGCACAATTAACACTTTCATGGAAAATTAACAACGATAGGGTTTTCGTCATTTTCTATTTGTATTTTTCAGGAAAATTATGACAAGAAATTGACCTAGTACTTGCACTTTTCCTATCCATTTTTGGTTTTCAATTCGATATAAAGAATCTGGATCATGTAACACTCAACCATGATGCTTCGATTTTTAGAATATATATAACATCGCGAACATGGTTATTGGTTTCTGACTTTCTCCCATCCCCGTTCACATGATAAATGCGGCAAGATTTTCTCTTTGCTAAAGAAGAAGGAAAAGGTAAGTGTCTAACCTAACTTTGGGTCTATAAACATAGTGAAAATGAAATGAAAGAAAATTTAAATGTATAAATACAATTCCCCAAATGACAATATTCAATCACAAGAACCCGAACCAGGTAAAAATATTAAGAAAGTTAAACACTGTTAATCATTTAGAAAGAAGTGTCGTAAGAATTTTAAATACTTTTTTTTTTAACTCACGGAGATGTCTTTTAAAAATAAATTGTGTCTATTCAACTAACATTAATATTTCGAATGCAATAATTATATTGATGTCCGAAAGTTTCCTCTAATATATCAAAAAAGTTACATATGACTTAGAAATCAAGATCAATGATAATTTATAAATATACATCTCTTTTTTTTAACCTACTAAAATATTTTTTTCAACAGATCAATAAGTCAAAACAAACAACAATCTATATACAATTATCTAACAAACTTACGATAAACACCTATCATTTTAAAAAGAAGTA